CCCGGGGGCCGAAAACACGTTAAAAAAATTTTTTTAATTAAAAAAAATTTTTTTTGCGCCAGTCAGCGCGGACGCCGCCGGGGGTGGAAACTCGCGGGGCTCGGGGTTCGCAGCGCCTCAGGCAGCCTGTGGGCCGGGGTTCCGGCGCGGGGCAGGGCTCCCGGCGCCCGAGAAGAGGCTCGCTCCGTGCGCAGTTCCCCCCACGGTCCCCCCTCATTTGCCTTTGTGTGGATCCTGACCCGCCGGCTCCCGGCCGCGGGGATCCAGCCACCGCGCGGGGTGGAGAGCTGCCGGAGGCGCTCTCCCCGCCGCGGCGCTGCCCCAGACTCACCCTCAGCGAGGCACAGAGTCGCCCAGTGCCCGTCTGGCTCTCACTTGCCCCGGCGCTGTCTCTATGGAGCTCAATGTACTGCAATGGCTGTGAGAGCGGGAGCCAGACGCAGCCTCCTCACTCTCTCCGCTCTGTAACATTACTCTCCAGCCAGCGCGGCTCCTATTGGCTACCGCCAACTCACGGGGCTCGCTCATTGGCCCGATACCTCCCATTGTCCTGACCAGAGCCCGTTTGCTATTGGCTGTCTCCGGGGACACGTCATCAAGGATTGAAACAGCGCGCAAATCTGAATGTGTGTGTATGCCGGGCAAAGAGGCTGAGGCGGGAGAGGCAGAGGCAGAGGCAGCAGCTGCTACGGGAAAGCAGAGCTCTATGGTGTATGTGTGCATGTGTCTAACCCAAGCCAGCCCCACACCGGAGCGGCCGCCGGAGCGAAAAGGGCCTGACTTTTCCACAAGTGTCTCCAACTCCTCAGGCAAAAGAGACACTCACAGGCCTCCCCCCCCCTTCTTACCCCAAACTCACTTCCAAAGCCACTGAGATAAGAGGCCCCAGAATTTTAACAGACCTTCAAAAGTGAGGGCGACAGTATGAGATCACATCCCCTGAAAATTGGGGTGTCGGCTAGTGCAGGGGGGCGAAGGCAGCCAAGATTCGAGCCCCTCAACAGCATATGGTTGCATTACACTTTAGATCTCTGGAAAGGCAGGGCTTTCCCTATAACAAAGTGACATGATCCAGTCAGCCGGTTTTAAAATACCCCTTTTCTAGGCTCATAAGCTGTAACGTCAAGCTTGCTGAGCAGCTGAAATCTTGACTCACTGTACAGGCATTCAGTTTCACTCTTTTTCTTGGTTTGATCGACTTTCACAGCATGTCTAGAACTTTTTATTTAAATACAAAGCACTGTCTTAACTTCCTGGAAATCAAATAATTATTCCATGTAATTAAAGCACAGCTACTTCGTCTCGATATGGGGTACTCTAGCAGGAAATGTTTGTGAGGGCCTGCTAGAATTAGCAAATTCATTAGAGACCACATTTTTAACTGTTTGGCTATTTTATTTGACTGGGTGTGGATTACTGTTATAATCAAACGAATCCTTGTGATGCTATCTTTCCCTCCCATCACACCACTTACTGCATCCATGTAACTGCTCTAGGATTACAGCAGTTGTAGGTATATTGTTACCCGGAGGATTAGATGCAGGCAGAGAGTGCATATGCCCAAATCCACAGACTGTGGTTTCTCTAACTCACCAAGCTGGCCGGTATTAATAGACATACTTATTATGTCTGAAAAGAAAAGGTACTAGCTATAATGGCCAGTTCTGAAGACTATAGCTCTATCAGTCTTCTATGAAACTATTATCTATTCCTCCTTAGCCTAAGCAGACCACACCCCTATTCAGTTATAACAGACTTCCCCTTTTTCACTCTCTAATGGTGTGTTTATACACTTCTAAATCCACCAGCCAATTCCTCCCAATGTAAAAGATCAAAGTTAAAATAAATCATTTTATTATGTTAATTTAATTTCTTATATCCACTCAAAGCATCCATAACCAAATGTATTTGCTCCCATTTATTAAGCTGTTTGAGAAAAGGCTTAGATAACTTTTCCTGACCAATGGTTTTAATGCTTACTCCTTTTAAAAAAAAATACATGACTAGCCTCAGGGATTATAGTCTCGTTGAATGGATAGTACATGACACCTGCATGTGAAAATGAGTATAATATTAAAGAATATATAAACTAGTATAATGTACATGCAGTATTTAAAAAGTAAACATCTAAAGGTAACTTTTATATTGTTATTTTCACACATATTTACTCTTGTCTACTTTCTCTATGAATCAAATTTTGCGCTCTATTCAAATCTAGACATTTACTTCAATTCTGCTTTACAGTCTCAGTGCCTATATCGCAAAATATTTGTAAAAACTTTTGGCATTTTAAATGGCATCCACAATATCAAAATTTGACTATTATTTGAAGACAGCACCATCAGTATTTTTCAGGAGCAATGTTGGATTTGCACTGTCCCAACCACACACTTTTACCAGTTTTCTATAACAGCTTACTCCTACCAGGCTAAGTTCACGGTCACAGAACCATGGGAAAGCAATGGACCCACACAGGTTTCTATTTAAGCAGAATGGTATGGTGAGTAATAGGCACTAGATTTAAATAGACCTGAGTTCAAATCCCAGCTCTGCTTCTTAGCTGTATAATCTTAGGTTTTTTAACCACTTTGTGCTTCAAGTCTCTCAGCTATAAAATGGAAGTGATCACAGGGTTGTTGTAAAGATTAAACTTTTTTTTCAAAGGTTTCAAATTATGTCATGCTGATCCCTTCAAACCCATGACTTAGAAAACATCAAGTGTGGGGCACCTGGGTAGCTCAGATCATTAAGGGTCTGCCTTCGGCTCAGGTCTTGATCCCAGGGTCCTGGGATCAAGCCCCACATCGGGCTCCTGGCTCAGCGAGGAGCCTGCTTCTCCCT